GATAAACGAGCGACGACATAAGATGTAATTTAATTGAATTTGGTAACATATTATTAGCTCTATATATATTCATATTTATTGCATGCGTATCTCTACATACTGATTTTTGTGGCTGAAATATACATACTATAGGTAGCATAAAACTGTACCGTGATATGGTAATGGTCGTAGATAGAAAACAGAATATTTTTTTTATTTCTAGATGTACCTAAAAACAAAATTTACATCAAAATTCAATATTATGGGAGTAATTCGTATTAATTAGCTTAGTACGTCGACAATATTAGCAAAATCATATCATTTAGATAAGAAATGATGATGATGGCGCGAAAGCTAGAAGAAATAATCATATATAGAAACAAGATTAGATTAATAGTTTTTGGTAACAATTGGTCAAGATTTGTTAAAAAAGATAGAAGGATTTACAATACATGGGCTAGGATTGGACGAGAACTTCTCAACCTCTATTACATACAATGAGTCTTTAATTATTCTACCAAATTATGTCTAGCTTTTGGTACCAACTACCTTAGAATTAAGACTAAGTTTTATTAATCATTAATGACTCGCAATACTGGAAACTGTTGAGATCTTGCACACCTATTTGTAAGAGTCTAGTTTTTTATGTTCTTCTCACGTGGTGACGTGCCAATATCAATTAAGAGTATGTCAATACCAATTAAGGGTGTGTCAAATTACGCATCTTTGGACCGAACTACCCTTGACGAGAGCATGGCACGAGAGGTCATTCTATTGTCTAAACGAGCCGCTAAGTTACTACTGTACCTTATTACCTTGTCTTTTTTGTATTATTTTAATTTATTTCTATTTGTGAAATGCATTGTACTCTCATACTCCATAAGAAAGGCTTACTATTGGCCGTGATTGTCTGCTCTTATAGATCACTAAGACTTCAGTCTGTCGAAGTTTCATGGTATAATATAAAATATCATAAAAGAGTACGACTTGTTTTCCGACATTTCACATGCAATTTGGCAGAAATTGAAGTTGATATTATTTGTCCTCTGATCATGTGAAGAGTACTGAAGATGAGAACTTTCCTTATTAGTCAACCCACTTTCCGTATGTAGAAAATATTATGTTGTACACATACACTTTATATATATGGACACTTCTTTTAGTGCTAAAATAAAGTTTTACAGTACATTATTTTTCTAATATAATTTGTTTCTACTTGTATATTAAAGTTCTCATTGATTGCACATTAGAGTAATTACTCATTATTGTTCGTAAAACTTTCTCCATGGCTCCGTATAGTACCTATTAATCCACACGGAGTTTTTCTTAGAAAAATTTCCCTACAATCGTTGTAAATGTCAAGTGATATATAATACAAGGCCATAGTTTCTAACCAATCATAAAAATTGAAAAACAATTTTATGATATAAAAAAAAAGAAAAAAAAAAAAAAAACCCTCCAATTAACCCTTATGGAGTTGGCCTATTGAAGGAGCATATATAGCGTATCTTTAGATCCATATTGTTAAAAGATGACAATAGCCATGTAATTCTTGGGGTACAAAGAGTCACATAAAGCAATAATCTAAAATCATATCATTCAATTTTTTTCAAAAAAAAATAAAATTCATATCATTAAAAAATTTATATGTCAAATAATTGCATGAAAACATGAATTTCAAGAAATCATCCTATAGAGCTATAGGTAACATGTCATGTCATTTCAACTAACATAAAAAGAATAGACCAACATGACTCAAAAACAACGGAAATTAGCTTATAATTAGCATTGTATGTCATCTACTAGTCTTTGTATCTGCTAGTCCACAATTACAACTTTCTACCCCTCCACCTTTTGTCTTTCCTCTTTAGAGAAAAATGAGACCACGATATTCGTTGTTTAATTGTTTCTATAAGTGTACTTGTTACCAAAAAAATAAAGGTTTTTGGTTTATTACATGCTAGAAATATACAAAGCACAACATCTCCACCAACATCAGATAATGATGATCCATCACCACCTGAGCCTCCTCACTTGCCAGGTCCAATTCACCGTCCACCAATACCGGACAACTCACCGCCACCAGGCCAAATTCACACTTCACCAACTACTGATGATGATGAGCCGCCTACTCGTGTGGACTCACTTGTCGTTCTTCCTCAATGAGCGGTGCAGGCCGGTCACGTACCACCATATTGGGGATGGTTTCGTACTTTTTGAATTATGTAGTGGTAGTAGTAGCATCTTGTAACTAATTAATTCATTCATTGAAACAATATGTATGATACTTGTCTAGAATGTTTCTGATTATTAACCTTTTTTAATTTTCTCCTTATGTGAACAACACATTAACAAACAAACGTTATTAACAATTTCTTGTAATTTTACCTTAATTATTAGTACAATACTTCAATTCGTTTGTTACTTTATTAAATTAAAAGGATACGTGAATGATTATAAGTTGCTTGGTGTATAATTGAAGAGAGCTCCAACGACCTAACGTCTAACAATTACTAAACTTGCTTGTGTTTCCTTTTTTTCAACAAACTTAAATTGTTGATGAGTTAGTCTCAACTTTATCATGTCCTCATACCTTTTGCCCATTGTCTTGTGTTCAAAGAAAAAAAGACTATAAGTTTAGGAAATATATAGTAAGGGATGGGTACGTATTTGACACTTAAGGAGCTCCCAAGGTACCGGTCTAGGCCCTAGGGTTCTCGTTATTCGGAGTTTGGGGGGGAGCTCCCAAGGGTCTAAGGCCTTGGAGGCTAGAACCATCCATTCATGTCTTGATCCATCCCACACTATCATAGCTTAATTGCCTTAGCTTGGCGTTGTTGCCTTGACTTGGCTTCAGTGCTTCACCTTGGTACCTATGACAAGCCAAGACGTTACCCCAATCTAGATTATCTACTAATATAAGTCATTCACTCATTTGAGAGTCACTAACTATCTAGTACACCAATACAACGTAATCCCATCAATTATCTATGGAAAAGACTTGCATATTATTTATTGCACTATTGTTAAATACACAATAGTTGTCAACTTTGTAAAAGGGTGACTTTTAACTATATAACTAAAGATAGACTTAACATTGTTGTATCATATTATTTGTGACCCTCTCAACCGTACATGTCAAGATGTTTCACAAGGGTCACATGCCCAAAAAAAAAAAACCTCACCTAGAGCTGTCAACGAACCGAAAACTACACTAAATGGACGGTCAAAGAGCAAACACCAAACCATCAGAGTTATTACTTAGCATAGTTCCCTAAATTGACATTCCAGCTACCTAGTAATCAAGAAAGCATCATTCAGAGATATAATTCACAATTTGCCATTTTACATATCTACCAGTCTAAGTGTGTAACTGTAAACTTATGTGACCACTTGGTAGTCCACATTTTTCCCACCAAAAAGTCAACAAAATATTAGCCCTGCCCATTTCCTCTTTATAAATGAGGCCTCCACATTGAGTCATTTCTTAACTAAAGCCCAATTCATAACCTCTAAATAAAATCTCAAACTTTGGTCTACAAGAAAACAATCAATATGCCACATCCTGGGCAAGACCACAGCCATGATCCACCAATGCCGCCACCGCAACAGCCACCACCACCTGGACCTTCTGGCCCACCACCACCCATGCCGTTCTTTACAACACCACCACCCCCAGGTCCTGTCCATCCTCCTTCACCTCGAGGCTCATTTTATCGTCCACCTCCACCAGGCCCACCAGGTCCTCCTCCTGGACCACAACCGCCTTTTGGCCCACCTCCCCGTCCATAAGTTTGTGACAAGTAGAAAATTGCGCTGTAATGGATAGTAATGTTTGTACTTAGCTCATCTTAGAATGTTACATGAAAGCATAAATAAATCTTGAGCTAGAATCACCATGATCTAGTGGCAGACGGTAGTAGTAGTAGTACCTCAAGTATGTTACAATAGTTTATATGACCCTTTGTACGTATAAATGGCTGATGATCAGTGATGTGTTGAAAATTAAAAGTCATGGATTAAATGTTAGATAGTATGTTTAATATGTGTGAATTCAATCCCTTTGCAAACTTATCCTAGCTCGCAATTTTGATCCGGTGAAATTTGAAATCTAACCATACACTTATACAAACTTATCTATTATATATTCAAACTTTGTTCCAATACATCATTCATTTTTTATATCATCATACCTCATTTTGTTGTATCAAATTTTTTTAGGAATGTAATTCTTTATGCTTTGTCACATATTACTTGTCCAATTTGTTATTTTTCTAAAAAAAAAAAATTTGGATCAAATGAGGCAAATATACAAGACAGACTGTATAAATAAACTATAACACTTATGGAACATGAAGAACTTGTTTTCTTGAACTTATTCTTAGCAAAATCACTTTAGATTTTCAAACCAAATATTCATAACACATAAGACTAAACTTTTAGCTAGTGCTTACTTTTTACTAATATTTTTGATTGTTTACATCATGTTTGACCTAATATAATAAAACCAAACCAAATTACCTTATTTCATATTCAGCATAACCACTTTCAATGGTGGGCAAAAATAATGCTTGCCCAATATCTCTCTACCCAATTTCTCTCAACAAATCAGTTTTGCCTATGGGCAATTTTTTTTCACCATTTCTCTCCCAATGGTGAGCAAAAATAATACTTGCCCACCACTCTCTCTATTACTTTTTCAATACCCCACCATTACTTTCTCTCTCCTACACAACACTTCTTTATTTATTAATTTCATTTATATTTTAACAATATTACTCCAAATAATAAAAACTAGTCTAAAATAAAGAATATGGAGGATTTATGGTATTTCTGAAATTATACCAAAATGTATGTCTATTTATAGAGAATTAAATTTTATGACCGTTGGTAAATTTTTTTTTTTTTATTAAATATTTATTTCAGAAATTACATTACAAACATTATTACCGTTAATTAATGCATGCCCACTATCTTACTATTCATCCCAATTTTTGCCCAAGTCTTGGGCAAATTAATACATGTCCATGGGCAAGTTTTCTTTAGCCCACCATTGTAAGACAATTAATGACATGCTTGCCCACCAAAATGCCCATGAGCAATTCTTTAACCCACCATTATGGGTACTCTAAATAAAAAAGTTACATTCACAACCTTAAAAAGTTAAAAGTAATTTTTGGTGGGGTAAAAGAAAAATGGAAGACATGTTACTAATGTTAGATATCCCAATAAATAAAAAGGTACTAGTGATTCATGTGGTAGCTTGCATAGAAAATGTGTGAACCACATGGATATTTGCCAAGAAAAATTGGACACGCCCTCATCAACTTCTAGCCCCCACTATTATTTAATTTGTAACCCAAAAATATAAACATTGAAAGCTACTTCACCGACTTTTTAAACACCAAAGTATTAGTTTCTTAACCTCATAAACAACCTCTTTTTTTTTTTTCTCAATAAACCAATTTCTTCATATCATCCTTTTTTCCACAATAAACTCTACCTAAGTATCAAACTTCAACCTTTGTTTGATACCAACACCACCATTATGGCCTATAGAGGTCCTTATCCCTCAGGACCATCACCACCTGATCCTTACGGCCCACCACCCACAACCTCCGATATACGGTCCGCCACGGCCTGAATATGGCCCTGGCCCGCCACCACCGCCTCGGACACACCCTGATTACTATGCTCCCCACCCTCATCATGGGCCACCAGGCCCACCTTCACCTCCTTATTACTCACATCATCATCAGCCCCATCACCGTCCTGGCCCTGGTCCTCCAGGTCCAGGCCCGGCTCCACCACCCTACATGGACCGTGATCCTTACGGCCCATCACCGCCGTCTATGGACCGTGATCCTTATGGTCCTCCTCCACCTCCCAACATGGACCGTGATCCTTACAGTCCACCACCGTACATGGACCGTGATCCTTACGGTCCACCTACTCCTTGGCCTCGCCAGGGTGCAGCACCACCGCCACCACCTCGGCCTTATTAAGTTGAACAAGCCAGCTGAAGATGATCATGATCCTACTTCAGAGTGAAATGGATTATGGATTAACATCTCTTTTGATATGATCTTCCTTCTATATTCTATAAATAAAATTTTGTGTATGCTAGAGTTACTAGGTAGATTGGTATTAGTATATCTTATTGCATCTGTATCACTGTATGTTTTTTTAGGAAGATCTATGAAAATCAAGCTGATTTGAGCTACGTTCAATAATGTTTGTTCAGATTTTTTTTTCTATACAAAATAAATTTATGCGATATTAAGCTGATCTTTAGTTTGGAATGCAAAGATTTGGTCAATCGTGATATTCGGTAAGGCCAAAAAAAAAGGTAGTTCCGTTGCCGGGACTTGAACCCGGGTCTCTCGGGTGAGAGCCGAGTATCCTGACCAACTAGACTACAACGGATCATGTTAATAACAATTGAAGAACTTAAATTATAATTGTAGCAAAGATATTTTCAATATTGACAAAAGGGTTACTTTTCCAGAACTAAATTATTCTCAAATCGAATCAGAAATTTAATTAACCTCTAACCATTCTAACGTCTTTCGGGCATGGTACTAATTCCAGAATTTATAGGATATTAATATATTAAGGAAAAAATATATACTTGTACATGCCTACATGGCTAAACGTTAGAAAATAGAGTATAAGCCTAATAGGATAAATACAAGTATCTGCTTTGCACATCCTATTATAATCAGCAAGCACTCAGCTTGAATTCATGAATGATATACATCCCAACCTCAATTCATCGGAAAATAACATAGATTTATACTACAGTACTTATAACACTTATTTCAACAAATATAAGCTTAGTGGTGTTTTAAAAAGTCGAAAGGGCAGTGGATGCTCAAGGCGCACTCCACACTGTACTCACATACTTACACTTAAGAAGAGGTTGTGGATTTCCGTTATATGATATGTTCGTACCTCAGTTCTTGTGTTGCATCCGTCCACTTTCTGAGCCAGCATAAGGATCGATTATGACATTTATTACAGCAGGCTTTTTCGCTGTGAAAGACTCGTCCAAGGCTGACTTCAGTTCAGCAGGATTCTTGACAAGATAACCTTTTCCACCAAAAG